CACTAGAAAAGCAATGCGCTTGCAATAAGCTTGCTTAAGTTTACTCAAATCGAAATCTAATAATGATGATTGTGAATACCTTTATTCTATTGTTTTACATAAATTAATGAGTTGACTCTTTCCTTCAATCTAGACTAGCCACATAGGTAACATTGCTTCATCAATTTCTTAGATGTAAATGGTATTTAATAAAGCTCATGTTACCACTAGACTTTGTCTTGCAGTGTTTTTTTTCAAATGGCAGGCTTTATGATATTTATCACTAGCCCCTTAGTTGAATTCGGGTTTCACAACGGGGGGACATCTATTTATTAGGACAGTTAACAGTAGTCCATTAGTTGACTTCTGGCTTCCCAGTTTCTCTGGGTTTTTGTCGTTGTCTTTAGGGCTGGACACCGAATCAGGTGGGTCTTCTTCATTTCCTCCTATAGGTCATGTCCAGTACGTAGTCTAAACTCAGCAACAGCTTCGATTCTTGGCCAAAGTCTAAACTCAGCAACGGCTTCGATTCTTGGCCATTCGGCTATGTGGTAGAGTGCCACTCTCTAAACTCAGCAACAGCTTCGATTCTTGGCCAGTCGGCTGTCGAAGGGAGCCCCTGTCCGTTATTTCTCCTTTGTCCGAGCTTTTCAGTGATATAAAGCTAATATATTTTGACAAATTAATTTCGAACTAAGATTGACTGGGCATTCCCATCCACTAGGGGTAAATTAAGGTCAAGTTTAAATTGCCCAAACCACGCTCCTAATTTTAAGAATGCAAATTTATGATATTAAATTTTATGGGATTTAAACTGCGAGTGCGAAAGGATACGCATGTGCCCCCTCGAAGATAGCTAACTTCCTCTTTCATGGTAATCACATTTATGCGCAGATCTACAGTCTACTTTGTTACAAATATACTATGCTTTTGGTTACAAACCAGAAAGAGAAGCAATTTCAATTTCCCTTCAACTGTTGTAAAAGAACCAACAAAATCAAGACGTTGAATATATATATTTAGAGTGAAGGAATCAGATGAAATATAAGAAATACTTTTAGCAAACAACCAATCCTCGCCTCTTTTTCTAGTGTGAATATTATTAGAAACCTCTGTTTTTGTATGAAATGGGTTTTTATTAGAGAAGTTGCGCGTATTTCTATTGATGTACCACTGTGCCTCGTGTTCCTCACAAACCACATTGAAATAGCATTCTGCTACTGATGTTTCTGAGGTACGGATCATATTGCGTTTTAGGCATCTCCAAATTGACACGTGCCATTTATCGTCAAGATAATGAATTAAATTCAGAAGTTTATAACTCCTTGATTTCAATAAGTTACAAATATATATATATATATATATATATATATATATATTTGATTTGCAGCAGAAAGCTTGAAGCAAAGATAGATATTGATTTTCATTTCATTTTCATTTTTGTGTTTTTACTATCGAAACGTTTCGCGACTATAAAGTTGAGGTTGAAACCGCACCCCACACCTCCACCCCTCCACCGGATTTTAAACTTTCAAAATTGGTCGTACATTAGGACCTATTACCAATCAAAATCAAAACCGTTTGTAGAGCAAGCGATAATGAAAATCCGCATGAAAGCGATACACCTACGTGGATGATCGATATCAGTAACTGCTAATTCCCTGATTGGCCCAAAGATCGAGCTCTGTTAGACATTTACAATTTTAATTATCCTACAATTTGAAAGAGCAAAATAACATCAGCCACAGCTTCTTACAGATTTTCACTAATGAAAAATAAACCCTTTCCTACCTTAACACAAGTTCAAATCGGCAAACAAAATATGAAAAGCAACTCCTCTCCTTATCCAAATCGCACATTTTTACCAAAATAATTAATTTTTTCCACTTATTGGTACAAAAATTGTAACAAACGGTCGTCTCGTCTCTATATCGTAGAGTTTATGAAAGTTCATGCAGCTTTTTATGTGATATTACCTTGTTTGCGTAGAATGAGTTCACCGAGGGTTCGTGTTCAAATAATTCATTTTCTAAGTAATAAAACAAACATTATTACCCCCTCACGAGCCCAGCATGGGGATTAACTGCAAACCCCGCCTCAAGCCTGCCTGGTCACTTAACGCAGAAATATCCCACAGCTAACAGTTATTCGCCATTTTTTTTCCAACTAACTTTTGCCTTTTTTAGCTTAGAATTGGTGAATTCTAAAAAAACCTCCTTGCGGATTGTTGACAAAACCAAGTTTAATGAAATAACAAGGCCAAATTTTGTTTTTCACGTCTTTAAACCTCTATTTTTTCAGATCAAGTTAGTGGTAAAAGTGCACTTCCCCTTTAAAAGTAATTACTGAAAGCCTTTTTTCTCGAAATATATTTATAAATAATTTTTAGAAAAAATGCAAAACTAATTAAAAAGGAGTAGAGTGTGGAATATAGAGAGGATGTTTCTGATGAGTATTTGCAAGTATCATGGTTAAATGGGAAATCAGATTTGGAGGCGTTGTTGCATTGAGTTATTGTCATTATCTGACGATTCAAATCAAAACCGAAAAAAGAAATATCTTTTAATAAGCGCACGAATTCTGTCAATACGAACAAAGAGCATGAAATGTAAAAGTACATTTGATGAGTAATGCGAATTTAAAATTTCGTGAATCAATGTCTAATGTACTAATCGAGCCCTTGTTCACTAAACCCGGAGTCTTTGATTATTCCTGACGCTTCTCAAGGGCCAAGTCAATGTTGTCAAACGATTTAGTCTGCAGAGACGTGGAACCTCTTTATTGGCTGGCTTTCAATCGTCTTCTAAGCAAAATTCCAACAGAAATTGATGATCTCAAAACGAATACACACTTAAAATAATTGTATACATAGTATTTATCAACATTTCATTATTTCAAATGTGTACAAACTATTTACAAGTATCATTTTATTGTATCTTATTACATTTTGAATAAATTCTAAGAGTACATAACTTAGCTGTCTTTGTTTTTTGACTGATAAAAACCTGAACACAGGAACGACAGCCAGAAAATATATTCTAAAGTACTACTGGAAATGTGGAAATGCAGTTGAAGCGCAAAGACAATTTAGGAAGGGATTTCAAAGAAAACCTCCAACACGAGTTTCCATATTTCGAAGTAGAGATAAGTCGGAAACTGAGGGAATTGTTGAGAATGTTCACAAACAGCTTTCCGGAAGACCACGAAAATCGACGGTTTGTGAATAGGCAGTGAAAAAGAATAAGTTAAACTTGAAATCTATTTTAAATCTTTTGAAATAGAAAAATTGTAATTGAACGCCACGTTTGCAATTGGTTTCAATGTGCATATATATTTTTATTAAATACTATCCAAGTGGGTAAATACAATTCATAGTAAATAGCAAAATGGAAGGAGTATTTCGCCCTAAGCTTGCTTTTTGGACCTCACCCATTGGCACTGGCGTCTGGGAGAGAAGAAGAAGAATCGAGAGCTGTTTGTTCACGTGGAGTGGGGTGGGACTGGCGTGAGGAGAGATGGGGAGGTGGGGAATTGATGTGCATAAACCAACAAGATTTGAGGAGAGTGTCCATTCAAATTTAGAGTGACTCTTTTGGCGTCTTTTCAAATATCAGCTACTGTCTTGCCTATTTACTGTATTGGGTATAATTTAACCTTCATTAATAGTATATTTTGGACAAAATGTTGATGGAAGAATGAAAAACAACAAAATAGCTCAGTGATGGCCCCTTCGGCTAATCAGTTTTTATTTAATGTATTTCTTTTGATTACCGGAGTTCAATAAAATTAGAAATAGATCAAACATGGATTCTGTTTGTTTTTAAAAGAAAAAGTTTCGCCTCAAGGCGAATGGTTATATTCTTCTCCATATAATCCTACCTTTAAAAATTTAATTCAATTCTTCAATTATTTAAGTCAATCTTTTGTTTTACTTATTCGCGTTAACAAATTAATCATTGAGATGTAACAAAAATATAAGACTCTCAAAAACTTTTTTCATAATTACCTTTGACCTTAATAAAGAAAATAGCTAATGGCTATCTTCAACTAGCTTAATGGAAATCAATATATAAAGAAAATACTTAAACTGACTCAAAAAATTAAATTATACCTTGTTTGCAAATTGGGGTAGGTACTCTCATCCTTGAGAAAACTACATTTAAAAAAGAAAACATTATTTCATTCATACAAATATGTGGCAATGTCCATCCATGCCATATTATTTGCTTTTCATGCAATCAAACATATTATCCAAAATATGCAAGATACGCCGTTTTGTGACAATTATATTTCAGATTCTAGCTAGTAGCTCGTTGGCCAATAGCAGCAGTTTTATGGCAGTTGTTCTTATAACGGAGTGCTCACAGTTTCTCGGTAATATAATTACCAATTGCAAAGAAAACATCATGACTTTTAATTAAGACGTCACGATAGGGATTGCGAGACTGATGGCCAAAAGCACTCACAGGGTGCGGAAATGTGTTTTATGAAGACGGAGAAGAAAAAGAAGAAGAGGAGGTGGGGTGCCGAGTCGAGAGAAGAGAATGCAGGGGTTGAGAGAACGCAAGAACGATTAAAAGAATAATGATTCATGGACAAAACACACAGGATATAAACAAGGTATCATAGACGCACCATCGCATGCATAAGTAGGCAACCACGTCCGCACTTACAGTTTGTATCATATCGACCAGTTCAGGACTATGCATCGCGTTGCTGCGCGGTCCCATTGGTCGCCGTGGCAACCCTTTCTTTTTGCGTTCTTGCCCATTGGTCGAGTTTATTTAAGCTGAAATCGGACATTTTCAGTCTCTGTGTTTCCACAAACGCGCACACGCATTACACAGACATCCCCCTATCCCAAATCATTTGCGAGAGCGCCTATATATCTGCTCAAACTGGGCAATCATGACATCATTATGCTCCTGTGGATTTTTTCTCCATTAGAACATTTTCAATCAACCGTATTCAAGAGAGTGTCAATAGTCCTCGAAGAGGTTTGATACGCACTTTCTCTCCAAATGTGTATATTTATTTCTATTCTACTTTGTACTCTCCCAATCATTCCAACTCACTGTAATGACCGGGCGCTTTCCCATTCGGAATCCTATCGAACTCTTTCTCGTTTAGTCAAGACCCTACAAGATCAGAAATGTCCTGATTCGGTGTTTTTAACAGACATTGAGGCTGCTGGCAGTTTAGAATTTGCACAGAGTAATCATTCCTACCTCCTCCCACTTAAGCCAAAGTATATTGATTTTCTGAATACTGTGATTACACCTGTAGCATTACATAACTCCTACCGCAGGGATATAACACGTGCTCTCTCATTGGCCCAACTCATTATCAACTGGTTGTCAATAAAGGGCGTTGTGCTGGCGGAGGGCAGAGTTGGAAACGTGGATATGAATAACTTTATCGAACCACTGATGCGGGCTTTCACCAAGACGCCTACGTATTATCAAAGTTGTGAACAATCTGTGATCAATAGTATTACTATTTGCGCTGGAATTGAACGTCTAGTTTACGTGGAGAGGGGATCCAGAAGTGGTGCCGATTTTCAACCACCAAGCAACCTCTGTTCACTCATGACACCGATTCTAGAAGCCTCTTCTCTAATACCTGTATCTAAGACAATTCCAATGCTTGGCCTTTGGGCGCCTCTACACTGCAACAATGGAACTATTGAAGCTGGAAGGAAGCTTCCTCTTCACTTGATCATTCCTATTCCGCACACGAAATCTGTAAGGTGGGTTTCAAAAAAGTTTCATTCCTAAATCTTCACATTTATTAAAGAAAGTGTTTTTGACACGCACATGGTCAAATTTTCAGTTATCGATAAATAGGACTGGTTATCGAGTTTAAAATCAAATGTCTCTCATAATTTAGCTTTAAAAATGGAGAGTTAATATTAGAATATTTTTAAATGGTCTATTGTTTCACGTTTCACTTTAGTTTCAATTAAATTACTTGTTTGTATTGATAAAAAGAAAAAGTATTCAATTATTTGCAATTTTCATTTGATGATTTTAAATTTCCACTAAGTCTTCATTTGACATTCTTTATGGTTGGAAGTGGTGGGGATAATTGTCCTTTAATTAAACATAGTTAACTTTGCGTTCGATTTTAATTAACATTTATCAAAATCCATTTAAAATATTTAGTACAGCATCTCCGATTAACCTATTCATATATATATATATATATATATATATATATAGACATTGAAACTATACGTTGAAGCTAATCGTAAATGTGGCGTTCAATTAGGATATTTCTATTTCAAAAGGGCTAAAATATATTACCAGAATAATTTTATTGTTTTTCACTGCCTATTCACAAACCGTCGATTTTCGTAGTCTTCCGGAAAGCTATTTGTGAACATTCTCAACAATTCCCTCAGTTTCCAACTTATCTCTACTTCGAAATATGGAAACTCGTGTTGGAGGTTTTCTTTGAAATCCCTTCCTAAATTGTCTTTGCGCTTCAACTGCATTTCCACATTTCCAGTAGTACTTTAGAATATATTTTCTGGCTGTCGTTCCTGTGTTCAGGTTTTTATCAGTCAAAAAATAAAGACAGCTAAGTTATGTACTCTTAGAATCTATTCAAAATGTAATAAGATACAATAAAATGATACTTGTAAATAGTTTGTACACATTTGAAATAATGAAATGATATTAAACACTAGCATACAATTATTTTAAGTGCGTATACATTTTTGGGACGCTCTATATATATATATATATATATTCATTGTATAAAGGCTATTTTATCACAACCACAACAACCATTTTGCTCTAGATTTCGTATGAGTCATTTTTAATCCTTCTTTTTATTTATCTGAAAATAAACCGAAATGTGGATAATAGAAAAGATTAAGATAACTCATCGCGTCTGCTTTTTTTCATCGGTAGTTATAGGGACTCATTTTATGGGGTTGAGATTATTATCGCCTACATAAAATTAAGAGAGTAGATTATGTTGCTCTTCTCATCAAAGCAAGGAGATTTATTCTCCCGTTTATCTTCTCCATTACAGTATACTCTACGAATTTGACCTTCGGAATTTTACTCTCGATCTCTGTGCTTTGGAGTTGGATGACTGTCGGCACAGCACCACCCAGGTCAGTTCAAATTTTATTAATAAACAATGGTATTGTTGTTCTTTTTTACTTTTATTTTAGTGCGTCCGACATCAATACAAACCGTGGCCTTTCGATACAGCAAATTACATTTGCCTTTGCAAACCCGGGTTCTACACAGATATGCCCGACAACGTAAGATATCACCATTTTCTGCATAGCCACTATGTTTTCTTAATTTATTTATTTTGCTTAAGTAATGCTTATTAGGAGAGGAGGGGTTTTAATTAAATAAGTAATTAATTAATTTCGGTAATCTCTGTTATGTTAAAAATATCATGACTTGTTTTAGCTTGCTGCTTGAAGAAAAATATTTTCAAAGATTATTAATATACTTAAAACAGAAATTCAATAAATGCATGATAACGTAGCTAGAATGGATTGTTGAAGTGAGATATAATTAGAATTGTCTAGGAAATCATGCTTCACCTCTTGTCATTCAGGCTATATTGCAATTCGCACCCATTTTCAGTGTTTAGTGTCAAAATGTACCCACAGATTTCAACAAGGAAGTCTTCATATTTTACTAATAAAATAGTCCGCAGTTAACTTGAATCAATTTTCAATGAGATGGAAGTTCCGTGCCTTCATGACAAAGTATTTTATCAAAAAAAGACTATTTGTCAGGATGTGATGGCTTCTAAAATGTCACTATGTCAAGGACAGAGCGATTTAATCTAATGTTAAGGGGGGGGGTGGAGGTGGTGTGGCAGGGGCGTAGTGGAATCTTCTGTAGGAAACCTGACTATTGTGCCACGTCGTTATTGTTGCATAAAGTTAAAAATATATAACATTCAAGGGTAGCTTCTACACCAACTTTAGGATCTTTTTAGTTGTTGGGTCTCCTTAAGTTGGAAACATTATTTTTTTTCACCATTTAAAATATAACATCGATCCACTTGATTACCTATAACAATAGGTTAGTAATCACATACTTTTCAAATCAGATGAATTAATGTTTTTCACTTTGCTCTTATAAGAAAGTTATATGCGACTTTAAAATTTAAATTGGAATCAAGAATGGGGAAACAGCATTGCTGAATCTGTTGATTTGAAATTGTTACTATAGTTCTTGGCACTATTTGCATGTGTTCAAATTATCATTATACTTATGATTATGAAAAAATTAATTTACTTTTCAATTTTGCAATGTTAGTAATAAGTCAAACAACCCGATACATTTACTTCCTTTACGCTTTGGAACAAGGTTCGCAAAATATATACAAACAGAGCAGTTTGCGTCTCAAAATTAAAATTTTGTGAGTCGTTTCCCGGGATTGCAACATCCGCTTGTCCACAATGCTCAAATCTCATTGGTCGGTATGCCTTAATCAGGAAGTGTTGGTCATATCGCTTCATCCCATTTTCTTCAGTGGTTTGAGGAGACAAATTATCTATTGAGGTATTCTACAGCTGATGCGATGCTGATGATGGTTTTGCCAACCTTGTATTCGAATTGGTAATCTCCGAACTTCATCTGGATTTGATGACTAAAAATAGGTTTTAATGGACGATTGAAAAATTTAGAATTATGTAGGCTGAATCATCTCCTGTGTCAATTGAGAGTAGAGAAGAAATTTTTTGAATTTATTTTTCCAATTTTATCGACACTTTGTAGATCAAACTTGGTTGGTTTCTTTACTTACCTTCCGCCTTCATCTTATTGGGCTTAGGAATAATAAACAAAATCACGACTAAAGGGAATTTTGGGGCTTTTAATCGTGGAAAGGCGTCCATCCATAAGTGACAAAATGAAGATAGTCCATTTAAGGAGGGTGTAGGGAGGATAGGTTTGAGAATTGGGAGAACCTACACCTCTTTTGGCCTAGACAATCATAGGGCAAAAGATTTTCATCTGAAAGTCCTATTAAGCATTTCTCTTCATCTTATCTTCATCTATTTTCTCCTTTAGTAAGTTACAGTTGAAACTGGTTAATGAGATTTCTTCGCATTATTTCCCAAAAAATTGGGTCCTTAACCAGAGATCTGTAAATTGGGATATCAGCAATTACGCTTCTGCCGCAAATCGTTCGATTACTAAATTCCCATCAGAGGAAGGCAGCTGTGGTTAATTACGTTCCGTAATTGATAGGCGGTTGGATTAATGCTAAGGCCGACATTAGGGTTGTCAGTAAAGCCATCTATCCTGACCTTCTGACCTGGGGTGAACCTGTATCAGTCAACCCCGACCATTTTGATTTACTTTGCTCTATTCCATTTTATGCAGCAAATTAGATCTTTTTTAATTAAGATTAGTTATTTTTTGAAAAATATTGGGAAGGTTCAAGTTTAAACCGAAAGCCATTAGTGTTAAATTCTGTTCCATAATTTCCCTAATAGTGTAAACAAATAATTTGTAATTTAAGCGAAAAATTTTAAATTGAATATTTTTTCTTATAAAAAAATATATTTTGGGTTATTATAGATGTTTTTCACCCTTATGCTCGCTCTATAATTTAATTGTTGTTTAATTCAACTGACAATTATATTCATCATTAATAATTCCAAATATTAATGCATTCTTTTCGTCAAAAAAGAGGAAATTGTTTGAATAGGAAATAGGTTGTCGTGTAGGATTCACGGGAGATAAAAGATTTGGTTAAGAAAATGACTGTCTTACTTTTCTTAACTTCCTTAGACGAGAGTCTGTTCATAGTATAGGTGAGTAGTATATATCCCGCTTTTGATTTCACTGAAGTGATAAAGAAACCTATCGACTCTTCATTCTACCCCGGAATAAACGTGGATGCTGGCATTTATCCAACCCTACAGGTTCACAAATAGGGCTTATGGAATAGTAAATGAATCGCCAAAGGAATACTAGTTGAGAGAACCGCTTTCTCAGCTGATTGTCAAGATAAAATTATTCTTTGCCCTCCCCCCCCCCTCCGCCCACAAGCCAGTCCTTTCTCAAAAAGTGCGCTCTTAAAGCTAATGTATCAAATTGACGGAATATAGAATTATGAAGTTGAGGGCCTTTATTTAAGCAAGGTTCAATATTTCATTAGGGGGGTGTGCGATAGACTTGCCTCCACGTGGTGCACCCTGGGCAACGTATACTCAAACGGCTCCACGTGGTGCACCCTGGGCAACGTTTACTCATACGGCTCCACGTGGTGCACCCTGGGCAACGTATACTCATAAGGCACCACGTGGTGCACCCTGGGCAACGTGTACTCATACGGCAAGTAAGTCTATCACGTGGTGCACCCTGGGCAACGTATACTCATACGGCAAACAAACTGGTGCACCCTGGGCAACGTATACACGGCAAAAGAGTCCGGGTGCACCCTGGGCAACGTATACTCATACAGCAAAAATGTGGTGCACCCTGGGCAACGTATACTCAAACGGCAAAAAGTCTATAAACCGGTAGTTGACTTCTGACTTCAAACTACCATCACCCCATTGTGTGTCATATTCGACTACTTCCCCAGTACTCACTTCACCTTTTTTCTACCTTTTCTACCTCCGTCTTTGAAATACCCTTCTGTCCCCTCCCTCTCGACTTTTTTTCACTTTGATGTTCCATTCCGCAAGTGAATCCTGAAGTCAACTAAAGGACTAATGATAACCAATTAAACTCCTGCCATTTGATATAAATAAATAAATATTTCATTTTGTTGGGACTCGAGTTATCCAATTAAAGCAAAACAGGAGAGGAGTTAAAAAAGATATTCGAGGAAATGACTTTATTTATGGGAGTTAGTTAACTGAGTTCGGAGGTAATATTTTGCCGCGTGAACGTTTAACCGCCTTTACGATAGCAGCGTTTGCGATTAGGCATGGGCTTTAATCAATTTGGATTAGGTTATTGCCATAGATAACTGTTGTACTCAGGGTCACGTAGCCTATCACTTTTGTCAACAGAATAGATATCAAAATGCTAAATAATTATTTAATTTTTATTTCAACTACAAAAATTTACAGGTGTCCTTAAGTCGTTCCATTGAATTCGAACTCTTTTATACATAGTTATATTACTTTTGGGGGGTGTGCGATAGACTTACCTCTACGTGGTGCACCCTGGGCAACGTATACTCACACGACAAAAAAAGTTTACTAACCGGCAGTTGACTTCTGGCTTCTAACTACCATCACCCCACTGTATGTCATATTCGACTACTTCCACAGTACTCACCTCACTTTTTTCTACCTTTTTGTCTGTCTCTTTTACATCTTTGAAACACTCTTCTGTTCCCCCCCCCCCTCCTCTCGAATTTTTTTCACTTTGATATTTCTTCTCTGTGAGGCTTGAAGTCATCTAAAGGGCTAATGAAACTATCAAAATCCCTGCCATT